AACTGTCAAAGTGGATAATTTCCACTTGAATTCGATGTGAAGTGTTGCCAACCATTTGAAATATTATAAGGAAAAATTTGACAGATAAAACAAAGATTTTTGTTTTGATACATCACCTTATCATTGCATTATGGAATCGACGTTTGTAATCGAGTAAAAAGTTTGTACCGAAACAGCTGATTTGTTACAATAGTTTTATGCGGATTTGGTATTTAGGTCTTAGGCTGAGACAAGACAGAAAAAACGGCTGACTTTCGCTAGCTGGGTGACCTTATTTATAAATCTTGGGCTGAGGCTTAGCTCGCCGAAAGTGGTATGTTCTTTCCTCTTTAACTGCCCACATAAAATTTGAATACCTTTTTCAATTTAAACGAAAATTAGATACAGTTACACTAAAATTGCATTTGAACACTATTTTGATTACCTTTAACGTTAAATGTTTAGATGTTACACCTCAATAGCTTTCCCAATCCCTTATAACATTTTTTAGTTAGTCATGGCATTTTCAAGCCATTAATTTTATTGAAAATATCCCACTCACAAACATATTGTAAGATATAAATAAGTTTAAAAAAATCATCATATAATTAAAATTGATTTTAAAAATTTCATTAGATTTATTAACAAATTTAAATTTAGGGACTTTACTTTAAAGTACAGAATATAGATTTATTTGAATTGAGGAATTTTAATTTTAAATATTTAATAAAAATCTAGTTACATTAGTTACGTTTACATTTTACCGGATTCCGTTAACCCAGTAAGTTAAGTAGGTTAACCTGGTAAAAAGTTCTAATGTAAATGCCGTTTAACATGGCATGTAATAATATTTATGTTTTCTTAAGTACAGTATGCCAAGAATCAGTTTATATTAAAGTTATTTTATTTTTTATAATTGTATACTTTACTACAGAGATAGAATACAAAAGAAGTAGCAATTCCTGCGTTCGGCATTCCTGCAAAATTAATACTTATGCAGGATAATACTAACTGACACAAGGTCAGCAGTTAAATTCGGAAAGGACCTCTCTTTTTAATACCGAACGAGGATTCAGACAAGGTGACAGTTTGCCGCGTGATCTTTTTAACATCCTGGGGAAATACATACGAGAGGCAAAGGTTATCACCATGGCATAATAAATAAGTAGTCCATCTAGCTCAGCTGATGTCTCGATTAACTGTCAAAGTTTGTAATTTCTACTTGGATTCGATATTGCCAACCACTTTGACAGTTAATCGAGACATCAGCTGAGCTAAATGATTGACTGTCAAACTGTCTTGATCATGGCACAATAAATAGGCAGTCCATTTAGAACAGCTGATGTCTCGATTAACTGTCAAAGTGCGTAATACCTACTTGAATTCGATGTGCAATGTTGCCAACCATGTGAAATATTATAAGGAAAAAATTGACAGATAATCGAGACAAAAACAATGGCATTTGTTTTGATACATCACCTTATTATTGCATCATGGTCTTGATTAACTGTCAAAGTGGGTAATTTCTACTTGAATTCGATGTGCAGTGTTGCCAACCATTTGAAATATTATATAGAAAAATTTGACAGATAATCGAGACAAAAACAAAAGTTTTTGTTTTGATACATCACCTTATTATTGCAGCATGGATGAGAGCTTCATATCGAAAACGCGAATGCCGAATGTGCCCCGATGCCGAAGGTGCCCCAGTCTCCCCTATACCATTGATGTTACACTATCGGGGAAATCTTCGACATGCTATGCTTACTATTAATATATATTTCTGGCACAGCAACATTTTTAAACAAAATTGTTTAAATTAATCAATGAAAAATGGACAGATCTAAAATATTGGGATTTGTTTACTTCTATTTGTATATAGACGCCCTAAACGTTCAATTTGTTTTTAATTCTATACTATGTATAAGAGCTCACTCAATCCAGCAGATTATGTAACTAAGTAGTATCCATTATTTTGTTAAAGTTATTGATATTTTACTTTAAAAAAAATTACAATGTCTAGTAATATGTTAATAATTTTTATTGTGACAACAAAACATCCCATCCATTATATACAAAAGCTATTTTAAAAATGGAATTGTCAGGTCGATAGACTAGAGAGGCCATTAAACAACTTATTTTTGCAATTATATTTTTAAGTACAGCCGTTTATTAAAATAATAATTTAATTAATCAAAATAATAATTAATCCACACACTTATTACAAAGTGAAAGTTCATCCAAAACATATCATAAACCTGTGGATTTTCGACGAAAGGTGACCTTGTTCTTAAATTGCTTACTCAGACCATAGTAGCATCTGTTGGCCCACGCTATTATTCTCCGGATTTCAAAGTTGATGTTAATAGTTTTGTATATGGCGGTACTGAGGTATATAAAATCGTTCGCTATCTCGGAGCTGTAGTTTTCAAGTTCCACAGTTGATCCGAATCTAGTGGACGTTATGATGTTAAACAGTTCACACGACAAACTGAATCGTTCGGTATTGAAGGACTCTGACTTTCCGACTTTAACTGCTGACCTTGTGCCAGTTAAAGTTAGGCTGTATAGCGGTATGTCAGGAATGTCAAACGCAGACATGGCTTTAGACACCTCTGAGCTTTATAGTCGACGAATAGGTGGAATATGCCTATGTGGATTTGTGAAAATCTGGTTAAAGGTGGATTTGCCAGGTCTGAAGCCGCATTGGTATGGTCCAATAATGTCATTGACCCTAGGCTTCAGTCGTTCACACAGCACGCTGGGTAGCACTTTATATGCGATGAGAAGGAGACTAATGTATCTGTAGTTAGCACATATTGCTCATGTTGATGGATGCTGAGGTTCCAATCATTGGGCATGTATTCCTCTAGCCAAATTGTACTAATCAATTGATGCTCCTGATCAGCATCTGGCCACCGGCCTTCAATTGTTCGGCTGGTTATTCATCGACATCTGCTGCTTTATTATTCTTCGTTTCATGCTTATTTAATAATCAGCATTATTCTGGGTGTCAATTCCACGTGAATTTACTCGCTCTTCCCCTTCGCCTTATTCTGAATTAAGTTCGAAAGCGAAAAAATCCGCTTTTGGGAAAGATTAGGTATTCTGGATTACAGGGAGTAGGAGAATGAGATGAAATTTTGTGTGAAATTTTTCGCTAATAAATTCAAAGGGAGCTGACTACAAAAACATAAGTAATAAATATTTTTATGAAAAATATTTACACAATACTTATTCTATGACGATTTAGAATATTATAAATGATAGTAAGCAAATTTTTAATTGGAAAACGACAAATAATTTTATTTTGAAATCCTATTGATAACGATGCGTGCTGAACCAAATATTGCCAAGGAATGTATAAAGGTAATAAGGAATATTTAAGTCGAGTTTGATGCATTTTAGAGGCGAAATAAAGACATTTTGCGTGAGGATCTGTCTCTCAAGAAACAAATTTTAAAAATTATGGAAAAACCAAATTTGTCTGATGAGCTTAACAGTGAAAAACTTAAATAAAAATTATGAAAGAACAAAAATAAAGCTACAAAAAATATTTTTTTTTTTTTTCAAAATTATCGTGTACGTGATTTGAAGGAAGAAATAAAGGAGTAGGAGCGAATCATAACATAACTGGCCACTTTAAGAATTTGGGGAGATAAATATCGAAATTAAATAAAAAGGCACAGAATTATGTAGTGAAATAATAAACTGTGAATTAATTAATTCAATCGCAGATTTCTTCCCATTATTCGTTGTGGTTTTGCCATCATTAAAAATGTTCTTTTATTTGTAATCTATTGTAGTTGTTGCATCAAATTGCATAAAAACAATGAACAGCTGTTTCACATGCCATATTGTAGGTTGCCATATTTTTTAACTTTAATTTATTTTCTTTTAATTACAAAACGTTTATACAGCGGATTATTGATATTTCTCATTTGTATTTTTATAAAGTTTAAATAACAATAAAAAGTAAACATTTTTAATAAAAAAATCAATAAATAAGTTATTGAAAAATATTACACAATTAAATTACAATGGGGCAACACACATTGCACCTTAAATTACAAATATGGCAACACAAATCTTTTTTTCAACCACCATTTTCGAAAACTCGAATCCGCATATCGCATTTTTGCGTCTCCCTATGCATTCAGAATAAGGCGAGAATGTGAAAGCAAAAATGTTTACATGTGAGATATTTCTCGACGAATATCCAGAATAGGGCTAAATATTTCAAATATAAAAAAACGATCTATTTTTGCAGCTCCCACAATTATTTTGCGTCCGCCAATGTATTAATAGACCTTTCCATTTCCTCTTATTTTCTGTCTAACTTTGGACTTCAACCTATTTGTTACAACATGAAGAAACCACAAAAAAAAATAATTTAATTTATTTTGTTTGTTTGAAAAAAGCTCATCAAAATAACTTTGCATTTATTTTTGCAGTCAATATAGTAATTATAAATATAAGAATACAAAATTTTTAAATAGAAAAAAAAAAACAATAAGCCGGTTAATTAAACGGCTTCGATAGCTTGTATACCCTACCATTGTAGCAACCCATATGCTATGTATCCGTTGTGTCTACATAAAGGGGTGCTACTTTTTGCCAGCACACACATATGCACGCATCTTAATACTCCTTTTGCAGTGGTTTAAAAACTTCATCGTTTGCCTCATTGAGGAATAACAACTTAAATATGTCATTATAAAAATCAGGATAATAGTCACAGGCTCTCTTACAATCTGGTGTCCAATTTACTTCCAACAGCTTCGGTTGCATGATGCTGGATTTATTCTCCCATGCCAACATAATATCAGCCGCATACAAGGCTCTTGATTGCGAACATGGCTGTATGCCACATGGTGCTGGTGATTTGGTGGCACATTCCAACATTTCATACAGCATGGAACAAATGCGATCTTCAATTTCCGACCAAGAATGTTTGGGATATTGTTGCTGCCACATCTCCAAAAAGTCATCACACTTCACATGATGCAGCTCGGCATTGTCTTGATAATTCATAACGGTAAAATGTTTTTCATAGTCGTCAAAATGGTCCAACGAGAAAGGTTTATTCGAAAATCTCAAATAGAATTTACGATGCACAAATGCTTCCAGGGGCTTCACACTTTTCAACAGCACCACATAGCGTACATCAAATTTAACCTTGGCACTGAGACTGTCACGATAGAACAGCACTGGATCTTCGATATATTTTTGGGCAATTTTAGGCCCCGTGGTGGGTAGACGTACAATATGACTCAGGCTATTGGAGATGTGTGTATCAAGAGCTCTGGCCAAATTCCATGGTTTAACAATCCAATGATTGTCCAGTCCCTTGGCAGCTCTATTCTGATAATACGAGGCAAATTGTAAAAGTTCCGTTTTTAGGTTATACGTTGTTGGCAACCATTTGGGATAGGTTTCCAGTGTTTCCTTGTTGTGATGTTCAGTGGCTGCCCTACGGCAGGTGATGCTCAGCAGATCCTTTATGGTTATAACATATTCAAAGGGGAATTGGTTGACAAATTTATTAGGGGTGGTGCGAGCCAGCTCGTCGAAATCTTTGAAATGTGTTGTCAACCACAAAACGTCGGCATCTTCAGAATTGTCCACCAGTGTAAAATAGGGCGATGTCAAGTGTTGCCTAACAATATCATATTCGGCGTATACCTTCAAGGGTTCATTTCTATCAATTTCTGGTTCGCACAAATTATCCTCATTGGGATATGTTTCGGGTATGTGACCTGCCGTGTAGTATTCAACCGAGGGTTCACACTGTACAAAACTTTCATCGGTTAAATCGGTAAATTGCCATGGCAATAGCAACACCTTACGTTCCTCGGCATCTTTGGCCACATATTCCACAAAGTCACGACACACCTGATCACCCTGCTCACAATCCTTAATGGGGAACAGTAAACTGTAGGTCACCTGGCTGTCTAAATGCAAAAATGGTACCATTCTAAAGTTGGGGTCATCTGAATGGACCACCGCAGAGCCCACTTCATCCATAATATACCAAATTGGTTGACGATCTTCATCGGATAATTGTTCACTGTTCAGTGTATAAACTTGGGCATATTTCCAGATTTTCGCAAGCACCTTGTCCACACGTTGTTCATCCTCCAAATCCACACCCGTAATGGCGCACATGCGATTCAGCAAATGGTCATATTGTTCCAACTGCTGGCGGGCAATATTTGTTCTAAATGTCCAGGCATGATCGACCAAGAATACAGCATTTGGATCATTGGCACGAATACCACCCTCGGCAGCGACGGACAGGGCAAACACTGGCCGACACTCCTTCTCATCATCTGTCACATTGGTATCCTCGGCATCCTCTTCGTCATATTCGATGAGCATCAGCTGCAACACGACACCAGCATCGAAGGTCTCCGTTGTTACTTTCCGATAAATTGATTGCCAAAAATGTTGTGGTACAGCAGCAGCTTCCAGTTGGGGTTTGTGGCGTGCCACAAATTGATGAAATAGATTAATGCCGTCCATTATTTGCAGGGCAGTTGTCGGTGAAATGTGAATGATTCGATTTGTATATGTACGAAATGAATGAATACCGTCGTCCACCGATTAGTCTGGAACATATGATGTGAGGTTAAAAACGTTCTGAAAGCTGCGAATGCGGGAGATAGGAGAGAATGGCCCGTAATGTTTACGAATGAGTATAAAGCATAACGCTGTCATGGCACCGGTCATGTTTAGAAAGAGGGCATTGAAGAAAGGTAAGTAATTATTCGACTGCGTAACGTAATAGTAAAATAATGCGGGATATCTAAAGTGAAATTAATGTAACGGAAAAAATATCTTAAACACGAATATAAATAATTTTTGGAAGGGAGATTTGTTACTCAATATGACCACTAAATATCAAATTGCAACGAATTCAATTGAAATTCAAGTCCAAAATACTGAAATTTTGGGAGACCGTTATATGGGTCTGTCTTTATATTTTTTACTGGGGAGATTAGGTACATAATAAAAACTCAAAATACCAAATTACAGCGAAATCGATTGAAAAGCGCCTCAAAACCCCCAAAATATCGAAAATTGGAGGTACTGTTATATGGAGGCTAAGAGAAAATGTGGGCGTATATTTATAATTTTTAGTGGATAAGATGGGTACCCATAAAGAACACAAAATACGAAATTACCAAAAAATTGGGTTATAGTTATATGGGGGCTACCGGAAAAGGTGAACCTATCTTTATAATTTTTATTGGAGAGATTTAGTATCAAATAATAACTCAAAGTGCCAAATTACTGCGAATTTGATTGAAAAGCACACCAAGAATGCAGCAATATCGAAAATAGGGCGTACCGATATATATATACATATATATATATATTTGATGACAATATATATTAATTTTTAAATAAAATGATTAATTGAATAAAACCTCCATGCGAATTAGATGTGTCTGCTTTAAGTTTATCTATAGAAATTCCAATTAGAGTTTTTGTTACATTCTGCCTAATGCGGCGTTATGCTGGGGTTCCACACTAGCTCAGGAGGGAGCTTCATTCAGGGGAGGTTTTTAACCCTGCCACCATCAACCCTAGGGAATGAACACTTATTGAATTTGGATCGAAAAACAAAACAAAGAAGGAAACAAACACAACATACACCATGGCATAGGAGCTTGATGACTCTGCTCCTCATCTTTGCCCGCCCATCCTTGACCCGTTCCTTCCAAGAATTTAAATGACTTTAAATGCCCCTCTACTCCACTAACACATACTCACTGACAACATACTCTCAAACTTGCTCTCTGAAACAATAAAATTAACACAACATATTATCTTTCATATTGCTCCACAAAAGGCATATGTAAATGAGAACAATCTCATCCAACTTCAATTTCTAAGTTCAACAGAGCAAGAAGAGATCAAACGTGAGCAGTGAGTAAAAGCAAATACATCAAAATTTATTATGCATACGACAAGCATAAGTCGAGTCCGAGCTCAAGCTCACGTTTTATGCATGAGACCCATTGTTTTTATGTTTCCACAACCACCACTGGACTTCAATTTAATCTACACTAACTCTCGTACCGATGAAAATTTCAGGAAGATATACACCTCCTGGTGTGATACCAAGACTACTGAGCAATAAAAACCCTGTGAACATTTTAGTACAACTCCCATAAACATAAATTTAAAGGGCAAATACTCCTCTTGTATATACTAGCAACATATTCCCGCATTGAAAATACATGCCATTCCCCTGCTTAATATTGTCATTACCAAATCAGCCAAAATATGACCCAATATTAATAATTTTGAAACTTGTACCAAAACCTATAATATCAAAAATTTAGCTTGAAAGACGTGTCCAAATTTTAATAGAGATTTTATCCCTTTTGAGAATTCAAACTGTGAAAATTCAGGAATTTTGGTTTAAAACCATGTCCAAAATCATCGAAATACTGAACGGGAGGGGCAACGCTATATGGGGGCTAACCGGAAAAAATAGATTAACAATTATTTTTGTTTTGTTTTTTTTTTTGTTATTTGAATTTTGCCTTGTAAGGGCAGTGATCACTTGAAAGTAATTTTAAGTGATTATTTATACTCTTTCGAGTCGAGCTTGATGATCTAAGTTTTACAATGAAAAGGAAAGCCAGGAGAAGAACCTACGTTGGTTAAGCGGCTCATCAGGCATATATTGGGCTATGTGGCTTTACAAAGGTCGTACGTTGATAACTTGTATTTATTCCGCCCTGATGCGAATCTTGCATATGCGAATTAAATTCAAATTTGTCAAAGTTCGACATTTGTCTTCATTCTAGGAAAAGTCCTTTTCAAAGCAGATTTTTGTTGTAGCGATGGATAATTAATCCATACAACTACAATTGCTTCCATGGTATACACATGTTTTTGCGCAACCGTTTTGGAAGTGTGTTGATGGCTCAGAACGTTAAGCGGTCTGGGCAACATTCGTGTTGCTTCAGGGACCTAAGTTCGAGCCCTAGCCGTGCTCAGCTGAAATTAATTCATGTTATTTGAATTTTGCCTTGTAAGGACAGTGATCATTTGAAAGTAATTTTAAGTGATAATTTCCTTTTCATTGCAAAAATAATCACTTAAAATTATTATTTTATTAATTTTTGATGGAAAGATCTGGTACCAAATTAGAATACAACATAAATGGCAGTGACTAATTTCCACCTTTTACAGCATTAATTTTTATCAGCCTTCATTTGTGCGAAATTGCAAGGTGTAAATCGTGTCTACACACACATGCCATTTCGATAACAACAGAACAATTCATGTGTAATCGATTATCTTCGTTATCAGTAAAACGATTAGGGCAAAGAATCGAACTGATTGTCATTCAGTTGAGAGACGAGTGTGTTTAATCGGGTTTCTTTCATTGAAATTACTCGCAGAGGATTGCATTTATTTTAAGCAAAAAGTAATTTATTATTAATTTACAAAAGAAAAATATTTAAATTATTCACTTATCAATTATTTCTCCGTGTTTGTGTGTGCGTGCATTTGTGTTTTGTTTAGGAATGGCTCAAAGCAAATTGAACGATTTGGCTGGTAAATTCGGCAAAGGTGGTCCACCAGGTTTGACCACCGGTCTTAAATTGTTGGCTGCCGTTGGAGCTGCTGCCTATGGTGTCAACCAATCCTTGTATACCGGTGAGTTTCTTGAAATAAAGTGTCCAAAGTTCTAGAAAAGAGCTTGGAAATTGTGAAATACTGGAAAACATTTATTGTGAAAACCTAACCTCAAAGCGGTGTGTGTCTGTGTGCATGCAAAGATGTTACCGATAATTTGTCGGTAAATTTCATAATAACAACGTGATGTTGCAAAATACAAAAATGAATGAAGATTCTTGAAATAATTTAAATTATTTCAATGAAAAAGACTATAAACTGTTAATGTGAAATAATTTGTGTTAGAATTCTGTCAAGAAATTTCATGTTTTTGAATTGTTGAATGGTAGACCGGTTGCATAACCTTTAAACCCATATACCAATTGCGCCTTGATTGGTGCTATGTTCTATTACACACCATAACACGAACTGATTAATTAAGAATGTGATTTGATTTTGTTTTTCTTTAACTTTTCCAGTTGATGGTGGTCACCGTGCCATTATCTTCAGCAGACTTGGTGGCATCCAAAATGATATCTACTCCGAAGGTTTACATTTCCGCATTCCATGGTTCCAATATCCCATTATCTACGATATCCGTTCTCGTCCCCGTAAAATCTCTTCCCCTACCGGTTCAAAGGATTTGCAAATGGTGAACATTTCATTGCGTGTCCTTTCACGTCCCGATTCATCCCGTCTTCCCACAGTTCATCGTCAATTGGGTTTGGATTATGATGAGAAGGTTTTGCCCTCCATCTGTAATGAAGTTTTGAAGGGTGTTGTTGCCAAATTCAATGCTTCCCAATTGATTACACAGCGTGCACAAGTAAGTTGGAGAATTTTTTAAATTTCAAATTGAAAATAGATTTTTATTGAAATTGTTTGTGCTTTTAGGTTTCCCTCTTGATCCGCAAAGAATTGATGGAACGTGCCCGTGACTTCAACATTATTTTGGATGATGTTTCCTTAACAGAATTGAGTTTCGGCAAGGAATATACCGCCGCCGTTGAAGCCAAACAGGTTGCTCAACAAGAAGCCCAACGTGCTGTGTTCTTTGTTGAACGCGCCAAGCAGGAGAAACAGCAAAAGATTGTCCAAGCTGAGGGTGAAGCTGAAGCCGCAAAAATGATATCCTTTTCAAAAAATTATTACAAATTTTAAATCAAAGTGGGTATGGTAATTTTAGACTTGCTGCGAGATGTTAGAAATTGGTTTTTGAATTGAAGGTTACAAATTGGAACTTAAAAGTCGTAAAGTGAAGTTTAGAGCCCATTCAAAAATATAAGACATTCCAGAGGCATAATGCAAATGGTCCTCCCAAAGGATTTCTAGAAATAAATTAAACATCAGGTATCTATTACACATGGAAAACATTCCAGCGTTCTTCTGATGATTAAAGGACGTCCCTAAGATTCCCTGACAGACCTTACAGAGGTATAATGCAAATGTTCCTCCAAAGGACTTCTAGAAATAATGACCCAGATGTCTTTTACATATGAAACAATTTTCAGAGTTCTTCTAAAGATGGAAGAACGCCCATAGGTTGCTCTGATAGACCTTACAGAGCTATTGCTTAGTTAGAATGTACTTCGAAGTTATTCTACATATAGAAAATTATTATTAATTGGCGGCATCCAAAGGACTTATTTATATCAAAAAGCCTCCCAAAGCCTTTTCAGATGAATTAGTTTATGTGTAGAAAAACTTCACGGAACATCTGTTCTAAAATGGCCTTTAAACATTTTTTTTATAGAAGGGTTACTTTTTATTGTTTAAAATATTTTCATTATTGTTACAAAACCTTTCAGAAATCTATAGACAGAAAATTATTCAAAATGTTTTAAATATAGGATACCTTTAAGAGATATTTTATTTATAGAAGA